GCAGGAATCTCCTCTGTGTCAGAGTCTTCTGTTCTGCTGCGTTTTCTGCTTTTCGGTACATTGCGTCACATTTTCTATGCGATTCTGCATCTGCTTGACCAGCGAATGATACCCTGATCCAACTATATCACCTTCAATAACATCCTGCAAGGATGCAGGGTATTTGGCCACCATCTTTTTGGCAATGGCTGTAGAGCTTTGTTTACTGGGACAGTCACATACCTTCATCATTTCAGACGCGACAATTCTTACCATATCTCGTCGCAATCTTGGGCTTGGTCTTTTCTTCCTTTCTAAACATTGAGTCAATGCTTCTGGAAACTTCTGCCATGGTATTTTAAAATTGTTAGCCCAGTCTGAAGCAACTGTGGAAGCCTTGCCACATGATGGGGATGCTGAACATGAAGATGAACTAGTGCCACTGCTGCTCTCTCCAGAACTTGACAAGCTATCAGTACTTTGTTCTAAAAAGACAAAGGTAAAAAATGACATTCATTTGATCACTTATACAACCATGTTATTTAAGAACACTTTTACATTTTTATACATTATGAAATCATAAGATGAAATGTACTTACTGATCTGGCTCCAGGCAGATACGAGTTTTCTGGCCTGAATGGGTCGTAATACTGGCAAGAGATCTGCTTCCTGAACATATTGAAAATCTTCAGGTGATGTTACTCCAAGTGAGTTCAGTGTCTCCACAACTGATTGCAGCACCGAGTATGAAATACCTTTGAGTAACTCAGCAATTGCACTGGTTACATTACTTTGCACTGATTCATCCATGACTAAAACAGAGAAAGATAATCAATTTGGTGTCTCTAAAATTTATTAAAGATATAGTTGGTCCAAAAATAAAATTTCTGTTATCGTTTACACACCATCAAACTGTTACAAACCTGTATAAGTTTCTTTCTTATTTTGAACATAAAAGATATTTCCCCAAAAAAAAAGAAAAGAAAAAAAAAGAACGTAACCGGTTACTGGTGCCCACTGACTTTCAAAGTAATTATTCTTAGCAATAATGCAAAAGTATCAAATTTTCAAACAGTATATTTACAATAACAGTATTTAACTGTTATTTATACGGTAATTTCATGTTTTATAATTTACAGTTTTTTACCGTCGCTACTTTACAGTTTTTCACCGGTAAAACTACGGACATTTTTTACAGTGTAGCTACTCGCCACAGTTTGGCAGTCAGGACAACCATTCAGACACATGGTCAGGAACATGATCAAGAGACATGATCCAGGCACATGATAGAGGGACATCATGCAGGGGACATACCCGATCAAGGGACATGCTCGGAGACACGAGCAAGAGGCATAATTCAGGATATATCCTCATGGGATAGGCCCTACCAGCTTGATAACAGAACAGTTATAAAAAAAATACTTGGAAATTAGATAGAAGCAAATGTCGAATTAATTATTGATTGCTGACGTTCAGTTAAAATGTGATTCTGCAAAACGAAGGTAATTTTTTTGCACCTTTTTGCACAATTGCACCTTTCATTAGCCTAACGAGACTTTTTCACGGAGCTCTAAATTAAAAATAAAATCATACAAATAACAAAATGATTATTTTAATTCACAAAAGAGTAAAAAAGATCAGGTATATTCCATAAAATGTATTTGATGATGAGACACAGAACCACTTTTGAGAAAGCAGCGTCCCCAAACCCTTTGATCAGCGTGACACGGACAGCAGGGGTCTCTGTCTGACCAGTATCTGCTCCCTCCTGCAGTGCAGCACTGCAGATTCTCTCATTCCTATTCCTCCTTCAACAACTCATTAATCAAATTGATTGGACCTCATCAACTTAAACAGAGATCCTCAGCTGTTTATTTCAGCAGGTCGAAGGCTGAACACCCCACTGGGGATTGTGGTGAGGTGTGTGTCCTCACAGTCAGGACTGTGTGTGGGAGTTTAAAAAAGCTCTCCTTTAGGTGGCTGTCCTCTGCAGTGATATGCAGTCATTGCAGACACCCACTAAGGGCTGTAACGCACCCAAGCGATGGATACTGAAGTGAACAAAGGTTCAAGAAAAGGTAAGTATTATGTGACTTTCCCAAAACAGACACGAGTCAAAAAATTCCAGAGCAGAGAGAGGGAATATATATATATATATATATGTTAATATGAAAATGTATCTTTGAAAATAAATCAAGTTTACACACACAATATGTGATTCTGTTTTTAAGATTAAATTTCAATTGTATTACAAATGATCAAATTTACAGTATATATCATGATTAATTAAATAAATGAAATTAAAATAATTCTGAAAATATATTCTGAATTTAAAGTAGGCATATGAACTCTTAAAACTTGGAAATCATAATCCTCAGAAGACAAACAACTACACTTGCTATTAATTTAACATTTGCTATTGATTAAACACACACGCACGCACGCACGCACACACACACACACACACCAATCAGCACATTTACCATTGTATTCAGCGTGTGCCCTTTTCCCAGCTATCCTCAGAATAGTTCCTCTTCTTGTTAACTGAAAGCAGATCTGATATCATGCTGAGATAATGGAGAAGTCGCTCTGTATCCTCACTGTGGTGAAACTGGCATAGACTGAGTCTTATACAGCATGTATGATCAAATATTCAGAGAAGCTCAGATACAGCTCAGCTCCACTCTAAATGCATATTAGCCAACTTCAAGCGAGACTCAACTGAATGTCAAGATTGAGGGAATGTGCTGGCGCAATCATTTAATAATTTACGGATAATTACCAAGCAGATTCTCTCCATAACCTTACACATGGCCAAGAAAGAGGGTTCAGTGATGGAAGACACCTCTTGACTGTTTTGTGGATGTGAAGCTTAAATAATAAATAAATAAATAAATAAGGTCAGCATGAAATGAAAATTCTATCTTTGCAAATGCACGTTATTGATCTTATTGTAAATTATTCATCTTTGTAAATTAAACTTTTTTAAACGTGTTTCATTTAAAAAAAATGTTGACCTTGTAATGTTTCACCAAAATGTCCTAGCTGGATTTTCCAGTGAAAACGACTTTGAAAAAGACTTTTCTCTGCTGATGTATGCAGCACTTCTCCAATCATTTAGTCCGCTTATGCCCCTCATCTGCAAGCTCATGTTCATCTTCCTCCATTGTTTAAATGCAATGCCTACATCTCAAAATTCAAACAACTAAGCTAATGCATAGAACCAAACCTCACACAATAATCTGACCAGGGTTGTTATCATTTAACTAAAATGATTGGAAACATTTTTGTTAATTCAAATAAGGCTAAAATGTCACATGTAATATATATATATATATATATATATATATATATATATATATATGAAAATAAAAAACACATATATATT